GACCACTCGTCCGGTGTTATAACTTGAACATTATGTGTCTTCAAATAGTCAATTATCTCTTTTACTGTATGATCTGGTGCACTGTCTTGATGAAGAATCATTGTTTTCGTAAATCATAAAGAAATAATAGAGGTATATTATATTTGATAATTGGTTTCATAATATGTTCAACATAGCATCCACTAGTGAGTGTTGAACCATGTTTAATAAAATGTAATCGAGTTTTGCCATGTGCACTTACACCGGCCCGGTCACAGGAGGTAAAATCATTTTGTTCGACTTTTTAAGCTTTCTCTGGTAATCCGTTACTTCTAACCATATATGTCTGTAGCATCTTGGCTTGCATCAAGGTAAAACCATGCTTCGTTAGTAGTTACATAATTAGATATTTACCATTGCATAATCGGCGATACATACGCCAAGCTTGAGATCGTCTCTTCACAATAGTAGCTGGATATAACCGATGTACCGATCTTTTTTTATGACATTTTGCCTGAATAACATCATGAATAATATGAAAAGTAGTACCGACATTAATATGACACCTTGCAGCCATTAAGAAAATTGTTGGAGGTTTTTCTTTATTGATGTACGTTATAATAAGATGAACAACTGCAAGTATGTCCATATGACCGCGATAATAAAATTTTCGCTTTTGATTGTTTAATGAGCATAATTGGCACTGTTTTCCAATCTTAATAGCAATATGACTGATGGTACATTTTGATACATTTAAATTCATGTCTGACAATTCTTGTTGGCTAACAGAGTATGACTACTTTTTCGTCAAAAAGATATTTCAAGATACCTTCGCTATTATCCAATATTTTATTGCGAGGCCTTCGTTTATCTGAAATAAAAATATCACAATATGTGCAGCGTTAGGCGTCAAAACTGATATGAAAATGATGGGATTTGTGTAAGCTATAATTCAAGAAAAGCTGCATGCAAGCCGTTTCAAAATAAATGAACCAACCTGTAATAGCATTTTACTATCCATTTGATGTTGATACATTGTGTTTTACTGCTTATTCTTCCAAAATCTGGCAGAGAGAATAGTTCATGGTAGTTATATCCGGACTCTTACCTAATTGTTGTCAAATGTTATTACCTGAATTTTATACTGTTTCATATTACCATGTGCCTCCTGTTGTTCCTTCGACTGTAGGGAGGGTCATATGAAAAAAAATAGTTTGTGTGTCTGTGTGTGTGTCTGTGTCGGGGTCAAAAAAACATCCACCTTAGAAAATTTTTCTTTCAAGGTTGACTAAAGTAAATCGTGGTGTAGGAATCCGAATCTGAAGTCAGAATTTAAAAATTTTGAAGTGAGTTTTTTGGGTTAAGGGAAGGATTTTTTGAGAAACAAACGATATTTTAAAAACGTTGACGAAAGTAAATCGGGGTCGGGGAATCCGAATCTGAAGTCAGAATTTAAAAATTTTGAAGTGAGTTTTTTGGGTTAAGGGAAGGGTTTTTTGAGAAAAAAACGATATTTTATAAAGGTTGACGAAAGTAAATCGAGGCCGGGAAATCTGAATCTGAAGTCAGATTTGCAAAAATCCAAATAGGCATTGGTATCAAAAAAGTTATAGTTGTGTCTGTGAATTATTTTCTGAGGGGAAAGTGACTTTTTTTCAGAGAAAGCATTTCAAGAAAAGTGAAACTCGATATATGGAAAATCCTTCTGCGTAATCGGGGTCTGCGGTAGTCGTTTAGTTTTGCTACCGTCTTCATCATATCGTTGTACGTGTGGATCGGAGTGTGAACTAATGCTGTGGATATTTGAGTAAGTCGTAGCGTAACAAAATACTGTTTACACACCAGTGGCAGTTGGTCTGAGGTGTGTAACATTCAGCGATTCCTGCTTGTTGACACTGGTTTCTGAGTTAAACGACTTTTTTGTCCATACACTCTGCTTTAGTCGACAAAACTAGCGTTAAAAAAATCTTGTAAGTGAACTTACAATCCGCAAGGTGAATGCAGAATAATCCAGGATTGTTTTTATGTTTTCCAATAAAAAACCAAGTTACTATGAGAAGTACCTGAGGAAAATACTGTCGAAAGACTGTTGCTAATATTGCAAACTATTCTAGTATTGTTTAACAACATTTTACCGTGAAAGTTACATTTATCAAGAATAGACAACTATGATACTCCAAATTAGAAGCCATAATAAAACTGTAATGTATTGGCTAAACAATTATGTTAGAGAAACTAGAAATAAATGATCCGAAGCTGTTGGTTCAGAGTAGCTCATTTGAAGCAATCGTGTTATGAATCTAACAGTTTTGTTAAGTCAGAAAAGCCTGGTATTTGATAGAGTTGAATTGAAAAGAATTATTTCGTGGAAGAATAAGGTCAGAGGTGGCAGCAGCTAGCCATGAATGGCACCCCGAAGGGGGCGCCGACGAGCGACTAGCTGCTGCACGGGATTATCTTCAGAAACGCTGCTTCAAAGTTTTGGAATTCTTTGAAAAATTCTCAATAGTCGGGGTCGAATGGGTCTGAATAGGGAATATCAGATGCACAAAGCTGAAAAATTTATGGCGAGTAGATATATGTCAAGCCTGAAACGTGAATTCAATTATTAAAAACGTAGCTCAAGTATTCAGTTAATCATTTGTCTCAGAAAAAAGGATTCTTCTAGAGATGAAATACATGCTTTGAAACTCACGCATGGTGACACCAGATGAGAATGCGGAAAACGTACCTTCTCCGAGAGAGACATATTCGTTTTCAGGCATAGAGATCACGCCTTTAGAGGAATATACAGCGAAGTGAGTTTCCAAAAGGAAAGCGAAATAACTGAATAGTTAAATGTGCGAAGTTCAAATAATCGAAAAAGA